AGGTAACGTTATATAACGTGGAATGAATATGGATTAAAATATCTTAATCTATAGCTTCCTTTGTTCTAAGTATTTCGATTCCTGATAACAGTTATCCTTGTCAATCAATTTCTTAACTAATGCCCATCAATCAAAGAATGCTATAATTAAATATATCATTATAATATTACCAGCTTGATAAGTACGTCATAATGACGTTAATTAATATTGGGGAAACTAGCGCAGTTGCTGGCACGCTAACGCTATGCAAAATATTGCACGTTGATGTCTTTATTTAAAACCTCACGTAGCGCAGTTGCTGGTATGCTAATGCAATGCTAGCGATAACTTTATCCCTATCTCTAATCATTTTTATCCTTTGGCATCTTTGATCTGGTATCTGGTATCTGGTATTTGGTATCTGGTGTCTGGTATCTGGTATCTGTATCCGGTGTCTGGTATCTGATGTCTGGTATCTGGTATCTGGTGTCTGGTATCTGGTATTTGGTATCTGTTATCTCTTTATCTGGTATCTGGTATCAGGTATCTGGTATCAGGTATCTGGTATCTGGTGTCTGGTATCTGGTATCCGATGTCTGGTATCTGGTATCTGATGTCTGGTATCTGGTGTCTGGTGTCTGGTATCTGGTGTCTGGTATCTGGTGTCTGGTGTGTGGTATCTGGAATCTGGTATTTGGTATCTGTTATCTCTTTATCTGGTATCTGGTGTCTGGTATCTGATATCTGGTGTCTGGTATCTGGTGTGGTATCTGGTATCTGGTGTCTGGTGTCTGGTGTCTAGTATCTGGTGTCTGGTATCTGGTGTCTCGTATCTAGTGTCTGGTGTCTGGTATCTGGTGTCTGGTATCAGGTATCAGGTATCTGGTATCTGGTATCTGGTACTTGGTATTTGGTATCTGATATCTGGTGTCTGGTATCCGGTGTCTGGTTTCTGGTATCTGGTCTGGTATCTGGTGTCTGGTATCTGGTATCTGGTGTCTGGTATCTGGTATCTCGTATGTGGTGTCTGGTATCTGGTGTCTGGTATCTGGTATTTGGTATTTGGTATCTGTTATCTATTTATTTGGTATCTGGTATCTCGTTTCTGGTATCTGCTATCTGGTGTCTGGTATCTGGTGTCTGGTATCTGGTATCTGGTGCCTGGTGTCTGGTGTCTGGTATCTAGTATCTGGTGTCTGGTATCTGGTATCTGGTATGTGGATCTGGTATCTGGTATCTGGTGTCTAGTATCTGGTATCTGATATCTGATATCTGGTGTCTGGTGTCTGGTGTCTGGTATCTGGTATCTGGTGTCTGGTATCTGGTGTCTGGTATCTGGTGTCTGGTATCTGGTATCTGGTATCTGGTGTCTGGTATCTGGTATCTGGTATCTCGTATGTGGTGTCTGGTATCTGGTGTGTGGTATCTGGTATCTGGTATTTGGTATCTGTTATCTTTTTATCTGGTATCTGGTGTCTGGTATCTGGTATCTCGTTTCTGGTATCTGCTATCTGGTATCTGGTGTCTGGTATCTGGTGTCTGGTATCTAGTATCTGGTATCTGGTATCTGGTGTCTGGTGTCTGGTATCTGGTTTCTGGTATCTGGTATCCGGTGTCTAGTATCTGGTATCTAGTATCTGGTATGTGGATCTGGTATCTGGTTTCTGGTATCTGGTGTCTGGTGTTTGGTATCTGGTGTCTGGTATCTGGTATCCGGTGTCTGGTGTCTGGTAACTGGTGTCTGGTATCTGGTATCTGGTTTCTGGTATCTGGTATCTGGTATCTGGTACCTGTCATCTTTTATAAGTTTCATTTTTCGTTTTCCGTTTTCCGTTTCCGTTTTCCGTTGTCCGTTGTCCGTTTTCCGTTGTCCGTTTTTCGTTTTTCGTTTTTGGTTTTTCGTTTTTCATTTTTCGTTTTCATTTTTCATTCTTCATATTTCATTTTTATATTTCATTTTTCATTATTCATTCATTTTTCATTTTTTAATGTCGCATGTGTCACCATTAATAGCACACAATGGCATTATAAAATCTTCGATATAGCATTAATGCCCTCTATAAAATTGTATGACAAACTCAGATTTATGTGAGGAGCCGGCAACGTCGCATGTGTCACCATAAATAACACACAATGGCATTATAAAATCTTCGATATAGCATTAATGCCCTCTATAAAATTTTATGACAAACTCAGATTTATGTGAGGAGCCGGCAACGTCGCATGTGTCACCATCAATAGCACACAATGGCCTTATAAAATCTTCGATATAGCATTAATGCCCTCTATAAAATTGTATGACAAACTCAGATTTATGTGAGGAGCCGGCAACGTCGCATGTGTCACCATAAATAACACACAATGGCATTATAAAATGTTCGATATAGCATTAATGCCCTCTATAAAATTGTATGACAAACTCCGATTTATGTGAGGATCCGGCAACGTCGCATGTCTAGCTACCGCACTTACAAAAAATGGCGCTTGACACTTGATATATGTGAACCGTGTTCGCGTAAGGATAGCACGTTCTTTCTTCAGTGTAAATGTTTTATGATTTGACAGGAATGAAAATTATGTTTACCTTTTTTAAATCTGCTGACGATTAATAAGGGTACCTCTCAAACTTCTTCAAGGATGAAATACATTAGAGAGATATTGCATATGGACCTAAATAAGGGTATGCATTATTTAGGTGAACCTAAATAAGTACAGTGGAATTAGAGATATTGCACATGTAACGTATTTTGACAGTTCGCTTTGATGGTGTTTATCTTAACCTCACTTTTCCTTCCAGTTTTTGCTTGCATATATAGGTGGTTCGTAGTTGAAATTCTACCAAAGGTGTGAGAAGTGAGATTGTAAAATGGAAGCTGAATTGGAAGCAGTTATATTGGCAGGAGCAGATGAGGAGGAAATAGAACATATCATCCTCCATAATATATTTATGATAGAGGCATTACTCATACAGCACAATTCAACTTGGAAAACTTGCCAGATGAAGTAATAAGACTAAATTTTCGATTTGAGAGGTCTGACCTTCATAGGCTGATGGCTGTTTTACGAATACCTTCAGAAATTGTCACTATCACACGTAATAAAGTGGATGGTATGATTTTGTTTAAATATTTATTGCTATATGTTCATCATTTCAATCGAACTCCATCCTCTGACTCAAACAACACTTGCCAGAGGCTGGAATTCTATCAACATGAAAACCACAGTATAAGTTCCATTTATCTTCTTTCAGGTTTAACAGCATTGTGCATTCTACTAAGACGGCTGGCATATCCAAACAGATTGTGTGATATGGTCCCTATGTTCCACTTGTCAACTCAGTCTTTGTCACAAATCATAAATAAATTGATAAGTGTGATTATGGAGGAGCATGCTGTACTTCTCAACAATTTGAATTCATTGCAGTGGTTTAATAGGGAGAAGTTGGAGTATTATGCACAGGTATTGTATTGTGTAATAGTTGAAGTGATGGTTGGTTCATAAAATGCTGAAATGTGCTTTTTGTAGGCTATTCATAATAAAGGAGCACCTATGAATAATTGTTGGGGTTTCATCGATGGTACAGCAAGGAAAATTTGTCGACCCTCTGAAAATCAAGAAGAGTATTATTCAGGACACAAAAGGTATCACTGCATAAAATTCCAATCAATAATTTGTCCTGATGGAATTATTGTTAGTTTGAAAGGCGCATATCCGGGAAGAAGGCATGATGCCAGAATATTTAGGGAGTCAGGTATCTCTGAAGAATTAGTGCAAAAGACATGTTTTGACACAAGACGATTTGTTTTATTTGGTGATCAAGGATATGGGCTGAGTGATGTGCTATTTACCCCATTTCATGGCAGAATGGAAGATTTACCTGCCCATCAGCAGAGTTTCAATTCTGCTATGAAAGTTCTAAGGATAGCAGTAGAATGGGGTTTTCAGAAAGTCATATCAGAATTTGCCTTTGTAGATTTTTCAAAAAACCAAAAAATGCTACTTCAAGACGTTGATGCTTTATACAAGGTGGCTGTACTACTTACTAACTGCCATACATGCCTGTATAGTAGTCAGACTGCTATGTATTTCAATACAAATCCACCTTCACTTGAGACCTACATAGGCCACTGATAAATAGGACATTTTGGGTTTGAAATACTCGTTTGCTTTCCATCGCCGCAGCCAAGACCAACCGCAGACAGCGCTGTTTCGGGCTCTTTAGCCCTCATCAGTATGGTATAGGTCTGTATCAGGTCCAGCCGTGAAGGCGGACAAATGGAAAGTAAACAAGCGAATGTGGTCTATCAAATAGCGGGAAGACGGTAAATGTAAAAGATGGCTCGCGCCATCTAAATTTCGCTAGAACTAGTTTCTTTGCAATGGAAAGCAAACGAGTATATCAGACTATATTATTGCATGTTCTGCAGAAAATGCTATTGTTAGTTTGTCCTGTGAACGCCTTGCGTTACGACTCTGGTGGCCGGCTACTGTTGGTTGGTACCGGGGTATCTGTACTCTGTACAATTCATCTGAGTCAGCGACCAGAAATCGTAAGGGGTTTCTGCTTTGCCTGCGTCGTCATTGACGAAACTTGCAAAGAAACTATCTCTAGCGCAAATTTAGATGGCGCTAGCCATCTTTTACATCTAAATTTTGGGTTGTTTCTAACTTGTAACGCTTGATGATAATTTGTAATTTTTTATAGACTTGTAAGACCAATAAAGCTTGTTTGGAATGTATGTTTATTTATTTTACAACCATAAGGGCAGCAAGCACCCAATAAGAGATTTCAAAACTAAATTAGTATGTTGCTGAAAATATATGAAATCAACTTCTTCAGGAGTTGTGGATGAAATATGTTTGATCCTGAAGTTACACAGTTTTACTATGTTCATACATGGAACCAGTTGCAGAATCAATTTCATATATTTTCGGCAACAAACTTGGTTTGTGCTCACCATCCTTAGCATCAACATTATTATTTCAATATAAGGCCAGTATATTATTTTTTTAATGGCAAATTATCTATTATCAAGTTTTGTCAGTAATGCTTCAATAAGCTTTTGTTGTGTTTTGATGAGGTCACTCAAGTTTTTTCTTTCAGCGACATCTTGCTCAGATTTCTTTTGTTCTAACTCTATCCTATGTTTTTTTTCTTGAATTTCTGCCTCAAGCCTTTTAGACTCCAAGGCAAGTCTTGCTTTGTCATTTGCAATTTTTTCTTTTTCATTATCCATTTTTTGTTCTTCTAACTTGAGTTCTGCAGATCTTATTTCTCGTGATATTTCCGCTTTTTCTCGTAGGTAATCAAGGCCATTTTTTCTCAATGTTTTACTTTTGTTCATCCTTTTGGTACGGGGGGCTGTAATGATCGAAAAGTAAGTAACAGCAACAATAAACAAATGTATTTAATCTTGAACATGAAATGTAAGAGGTAGTTTTGAGCTTTCTGTTTTATAGGTAATGTATAACATACTAGAAACTACTTAATCTAGTAGTAGCCCTCTGAATGGGATGCCATGGCAATGCTATATACGCTGTAGTCATCTGGATCCACTATTTGGTTAGTCTGGCCTGTAAATAAAACCGCAGTGCTAAACAAAAGAAGTTCACTGACAGGTTAGTCATTGCACTGGCTTTTATCAAAGTATATAACATAAGTACCTACACATTTTATATCGAGCACTGGTTTTATTTACTGGTCATACTCCATAACCTGTGGATCTGTTTTAGTGTTTCTATTACTGAAGATTCAAGCAGTAATTCTAATCATTGTTTTACCTGATATCTGTTTTGCAGTTCCAACATCTTGTACAGATATCTGTTTTGCAGTTCCAACATCTTGTACAGATATCTGTTTTGCAGTTCCAACATCTTGTACAGATATCTGTTTTGCAGTTCCAACATCTTGTACAGATATCTGTTTTGCAGTTCCAACATCTTGTACAGACTTATTATTATTTCTGTGTCAACGTCGACTGTAACACAAACACCTAAAACTGTGATAATATAGTAATATGTATAAAAAATGTTTAGAATAGTTATTTTACCGTAATCATGGTCGATTAAAGTGTCATCCACATCAGAAAAGGCCAGCAGTGCCATAGCCTCTCTTTCATTGCGTGTCTTTTCAATCATATCTTTCGCTTTGTTTTCCACTTTTTTCTTTTTTGCTGGTGTAGTTGAGCAGGTCTCTTTCATTAACTCGCTGGCTTCTTGGAGCATATGTTCTCTTTCATTATAGACTTCTTCTATGCCAGACCTGTCAAACACAAATGTTGTTTCACCAAGTCTTACATTAAGCATTCTCTTGTTATTAAAATACATGTAGGTACAGTGTGCTATCTTATACTTACTTGACTTTGCTGTTAACCTCCTTTTTGAGGAACAGCTCCAGAAGATGGTTCAGATGCTTTTTTATTGTTCTCAAAATAAATTCTTTTCCCGTAAGCTCTCGCAAGTTCTGTAAGATTGAGTCCCACTTCTCAGGAGAACGGATAGGGTTTTGTGCAATAAATTCACGCAGCAAAATCATTTCGTCGTCATACGTGAACCTTATTCTCTTTTATCCATATTCATAGTTACCAAAACGCTTCAGCAATCGTTGAATTTTGAGAGTACAAATTTATAGGTTAAATAGGCTTGCGACGACACCCGATTTGCTTAGATCGTGAATCGTCGTGACATAAGAACGCCTAAATAAGCTCCCCCTATTATAGCTTAAATAAGGACGTGCCTTATCCCTATTAATTCCTCATAGATACAGAATTGTATGTGCGCATGCGTAGATGTCAAAATAAGGTCTGCACTAATAAGGCAGATGTTTGCAATATCTCCCTATTGACGAAACTTGCAAAGAACTATCTCTAGCGCAAATTAGATGGCGCTAGCCATCTTTTACATCTAAATTTTGGGTTGTTTCTAACTTGTAACGCTGATGATAATTTGTAATTTTTTATAGACTTGTAAGACCAATAAAGCTTGTTTGGAATGTATGTTTATTTATTTTACAACCATAAGGGCAGCAAGCACCCAATAAGAGATTTCAAAACTAAATTAGTATGTTGCTGAAAATATATGAAATCAACTTCTTCAGGAGTTGTGGATGAAATTGTTTGATCCTGAAGTTACACAGTTTTACTATGTTCATACATGGAACCAGTTGCAGAATCAATTTCATATATTTTCGGCAACAAACTTGGTTTGTGCTCACCATCCTTAGCATCAACATTATTATTTCAATATAAGGCCAGTATATTATTTTTTAATGGCAAATTATCTATTATCAAGTTTTGTCAGTAATGCTTCAATAAGCTTTTGTTGTGTTTTTGATGAGGTCACTCAAGTTTTTTCTTTCAGCGACATCTTGCTCAGATTTCTTTGTTCTAACTCTATCCTATGTTTTTTTTCTTGAATTTCTGCCTCAAGCCTTTTAGACTCCAAGCAAGTCTTGCTTTGTCATTTGCAATTTTTTCTTTTCATTATCCATTTTTGTTCTTCTAACTTGAGTTCTGCAGATCTTATTTCTCGTGATATTTCCGCTTTTTCTCGTAGGTAATCAAGGCCATTTTTTCTCAATGTTTACTTTTGTTCATCCTTTTGGTACGGGGGGCTGTAATGATCGAAAAGTAAGTAACAGCAACAATAAACAAATGTATTTAATCTTGAACATGAAAGTAAAGGTAGTTTTGAGCTTTCTGTTTTATAGGTAATGTATAACATACTAGAAACTACTTAATCTAGTAGTAGCCCTCTGAATGGGATGCCATGGCAATGCTATATAGGTGATCATCTGGATCCACTATTTGGTTAGTCTGGCCTGTAAATAAAAACCGCAGTGCTAAACAAAAGAAGTTCACTGACAGGTTAGTCATTGCACTGGCTTTTATCAAAGTATATAACATAAGTACCTACACATTTTATAATCGAGCACTGGTTTTATTTACTGGTCATACTCCATAACCTGTGGATCTGTTTTAGTGTTTCTATTACTGAAGATTCAAGCAGTAATTCTAATCATTGTTTTAACCTGATATCTGTTTTGCAGTTCCAACATCTTGTACATAGATCTGTTTTGCATTCCAACATCTTGTACAGATAGTTTTGCAGTTCCAACATCTTGTACAGATATCTGTTTTGCAGTTCCAACATCTTGTACAGATATCTGTTTTGCAGTTCCAACATCTTGTACAGACTTATTATTATTTTCTGTGTCAACGTCGACTGTAACCAAACACCTAAAACTGTGATAATATAGTAATATGTATAAAAAATGTTTAGAATAGTTATTTTACCGTAATCATGGTCGATTAAAGTGTCATCCACATCAGAAAAGGCCAGCAGTGCCATAGCCTCTCTTTCATTGCGTGTCTTTTCAATCATATCTTTCGCTTTGTTTTCCACTTTTTTCTTTTTTGCTGGTGTGAGCAGGTCTCTTTCATTAACTCGCTGGCTTCTTGGAGCATATGTCTCTTTCATTATAGACTTCTTCTATGCCAGACCTGTCAAACACAAATGTTGTTTCACCAAGTCTTACATTAAGCATTCTCTTGTTATTAAAATACATGTAGGTACAGTGTGCTATCTTATACTTACTTGACTTTGCTGTTAACCTCCTTTTTTGAGGAACAGCTCCAGAAGATGGTTCAGATGCTTTTTTATTGTTCTCAAAATAAATTCTTTTCCCGTAAGCTCTCGCAAGTTCTGTAAGATTGAGTCCCACTTCTCAGGAGAACGGATAGGGTTTGTGCAATAAATTCACGCAGCAAAATCATTTCGTCGTCATACTGAACCTTATTCTCTTTTTATCCATATTCATAGTTACCAAAACGCTTCAGCAATCGTTGAATTTTGAGAGTACAAATTTATAGGTTAAATAGGCTTGCGACGACACCCGATTTGCTTAGATCGTGAAATCGTCGTGACATAAGAACGCCTAAATAAGCTCCCCCTATTATAGCTTAAATAGGACGTGCCTTATCCCTATTAATTCCTCATAGATACAGAATTGTATGTGCGCATGCGTAGATGTCAAAATAAGGTCTGCACTAATAAGGCAGATGTTTGCAATATCTCCCTATTATCACGATAGATACACACTGAGGCACTTCTGAACCTGTAAACACTCGGCACCGGGTATCACTAGACTGTTGTTATTTGTTATTATATTATGCTATAAGCACAAAGTCTTGCTATGTTGTGGATTTCTGATCTCTTCAGGAATTGATCTTTGGCACTAATTAGGTCTTACAATCATATTTGTCGTATTTAAGCTGACGATGACTTCTACAAATTGCTAACCGTCACACCCGATTCCACTACATAGTTGGGGGTAAAAGACAGGAATGAAAATGTTTACCTCATTTAAATTTGCTGACGATTAATAAGGCTACCTTTTAAACCGCTCTCAAACGTCTTGAAAGATGAACTAAATTATCTATAGATACACTGCGGTACGTCGTCTGAACCGAAAAACACTCTGCACCACTAGACACTTGCAAGACACACTGCTATAAGCACAAAGTTTTGCTATATTGTGGACTTGTTGCCTTTTTAGGATGGATCCATATAAACGTTCATCTAAAATTATGCCACTCATTAGGGTTTACAATCATATTTATCGTATTGAAAGTGATGATGACTTTTGTAAACAAATCGCTAAACGTCAAAGCCTAAATGCTTAGCTGCCGGTAAAATTACATCGTTGCCAAGGCATACTTGATTATCATTATAATAATGGCTATAGTCCGGTCCGTTTAGACTATGAAATATAGAAATTTTGAATCTTTTCGAAAATGTTGATTTTCACGCGTAAAAAAGGACAATTCTATTTGGCGTGATCCAATATTCGATGAAGCGACCAACATAAAGCCGAAAATGGCACGTTTCGGACGTTCCGCTCGCACTCGCTCGCTTTCGTAATACGATTATACCTACATTACCCCGCCTAACAGGAATCTGGGGATCTGGAGGGGAAATTCAAAATTGAAACTTCAAACTAAAAATATCTGCATATCTTTGAATTTTCTAATCTGCCGAGTTTAAAAAATGCGATCGGGTAACGTGTCATATGTCGGTTTAATCAGGAGACTTTGGTCTTTCGTTTTGCGAAAAAAAATCGTAGCTACGTCGCTCCGTAACGCAGGTCCGTATCGACGAAGACAAAGTACGCCGAAAAACGGCTGTCATCGGTACTTTTGAGGCGCTCAAAGTTTACTTTTTGAAATTTGACGGTAATTCTAACGGTCAGAATCGTTTCCTCAGCTCATTATCGTTATATTTCGATAGCTGTATAATTTTTACTCGCTCACGTACGGTAGTAATAGGCGAACACAGAGTCGGATGACAAAGTGACTTTTTCGCGCGTCGAAAATTAGCGTGTTGTCGGGCAATTTTTAAAAAATCGAAACTTTCGAACGACAAGGGATAAAGGAAAAAAAAGACGCTATCTTTGAGTCCGATGTCCGGGCTTTCTCACGCAAAAATCGTCAGGTTCGTAGCTCCTTTATCTTCGGAGGAGATAGAAAAAGCGCGTCGAACGGCACGAAAATCTACCGATTTTTCAACTTTACCGGCCATTTTCGATCGCGTTCGTTCCTCCTACCGCGACAACTCTCGCTCCATCGTAAAGCGCCGAGTTTCTAGTTTCCGAAACGGTATCGTTTTCCATCCGAACGTTCCGCGAACCCGGAAAAAAACCGGAAAAATCGGAAAGTAGCGCGTAGTCGAGGAAATCAAAAAAATCGAAATTTTCGAACGAAAAGGCATAAAGAAAAAAAAAGAAAGCCGCTATCTTTGAGCCCGAAGCCGGGGCTTTCTCGCGCAAAAATCGCCAGGTTCGCAGCTCCTTTATCTTCGGTGGAAACCTATGTTGAACGTCGGACAGAACGAAAATCTACCGGTTTTTTCGACTTTACCGGCCGTTTTCGATCCGATCCGTTCCTCTCACCGCGACGGCTCCCGCTCCCCCTAAAGCGCCGAGTTTCTACTTTCCGAAACGGTACCTCTTTCCCTCCGACGTTTCGCGAACCGGGAAAAAAAACGGAAAAACCGCGTCGACGTCATACGACAATTTCCGAACCACTACCAATTTTACCTATTACTACCAAATCGAAACAAAAGATCAACGCTTAATATTATCGACTAGCGCAGTTTTAGCATGCCAACGCTATGCTAAATATTGTCCGTTGATGTCTTTATTTAAAACCACCCGTAGCGCAGTTGCTGGTATGCTAATGCAATGCTAGCGATATATACTTTATCCCTATCTCTAATCGTTTTTTATCCTTTGGCATCTTTGATCTGTT